GTGTTTGAGTGAGAGTGTGTGTGTGTGTGTGTGTGTGAGAGAGAGAGAGAGAGAGAGAGAGAGAGAGAGAGAGAGAGAGAGAGAGAGAATATGTAGCAGAGTTCGTGTGCACGTATGTATTTACCATGCCGCATGTTGTATGAAATATGCAGTCCCTTAACCTCCACATCTTTCTCTCTTCACCTCCCCAGCTATGGGCACACGGCGGTAATGGACCGGCCATTCCATGGACTCCGCCCACGGCCGGGGCCGCCAGCAAGCTCACTCTGGCGCAGTGTCACAGTCACGTGATCATCCTTATCTAGACCTCAAGACTTTCCGGGACGACAGGACAGCTCTCACGACGCAGCATGATGGCCGTTCTTCCGCATCTAGACCAAACTCCGCCCACCCTTCTCTACAAGGCTCAGACAGGGGTCACAGCCGTGGTGGTGTCGCTCAAGAAGGAGGAGGAGGAGGTGGAGGAGGGAGAGGAGGGAAAAGAGGAGGAGGAGGAGATGGGAATGATTCCCTTTCACGAACGGAAAAATCACAAAGTGGTGCTACCTCGGGTGATTCCAAAGTACACGGTGCAAGATCTAAGAAGTCGAAAGAACTCTCCTCTACTGCTGCCAGTGATCAAACGAAGTCTGGCACATCAAGGACACGCCGAAGTGACGCAACACCTTCCTCTGCCGGCCAATCACAGACGCCCAAAGAGAAACGCAGGGCAAGGAGTGCATCGAGACCTCGTGACCAGCCTCGTGATCAGGGTGGACACGCTCGGCAGGTGTCTTCCCCGGCGACGCATGACGTCACATACGAAAAGGAAGCAAATACCGCCCAGAAAGATGGCTACACGATTCCCCACACTTCTGCGAAGCAGCAGGCCGAGCAGCGAAGTTTTTCGTTTGACAAGATAGCCATGGCAGTAGGTAGTAAAACTTCAAATCCGGAACACTATAAGGAGGAACAGCCTGGGTTTGGGGGAAAGAGTAACAAAACCGACAGGGACAGAAAAATGAGGTCGGCGTCCGCGCCACGGGAAGTGAAGACAAAGGACGGGGAAAGGGCCGGAGACCCCAAGCGTAAGACGCACGCCAGACACCTGTCTGCGGATCTCGCCGACGACAGCAGCAGCAGAGTTCAGTCTAAATCTATGCAGCGGAATGTTACCAAACAACTCCGGAAAAAAGGTCAAGGTCACCCGAGATCAGAACAGCTGTCTGGGGATATATCGCTGGAAGGAGTCACCTCTCCACACGTTCCAGCGTCTGTCAGTGCGGTCCCCATCCCCAGCTCATCCAGTCCCGATGTTCACGCCATCGCTAGGCCTACTAGTTTGAACCCCAACATGGCTGGCGCTCCTAACTTTACCTTCCCCAGAGAGCCAGCGCAGTCGAAGTCAAGGAACAGAATGCAAAGAGGTTACGTAGAACGAGATCAGTTTGACCAGGACTACGACATGCTCAATCCACCCGCAGCCAACACGAACAGTAGAATACGTTCTTATACCCCAGATTATAATTCAAAACAGTCTGTCCGAGAGCCCCTTCTCCCTCGGAATCTCGATTCTGATTCAAAGCTCAATCTGAGTAGTAAAGACTCAAAAACGGCTGCTTCCACCCCTCGTACAGCCTCCACGTCTTACATACATACGTTTCCTCGGACGACGAAACAGCATCTTAAAGATCCCTCCCCTACGGGTGCCTTCTCGTCTTTGAGTGCGGAGAGAACTGCCATAATCAGAAGGGACGCGTCGCCTTCCTCTGAAAAGACTCATCGTTACTCATCCAATCAATTAGGCAGCCCGGACAGAGCGTACTCCTCCTCCCTCCCCAAAGTTCCCAGCCAATCCTCATTCACTTCATCCGACGCTCGGTCCGACGTTTGCCTAGATCTCCCAGACGTTAATGACCTTCCCGACGAAGACGACCTATACCTTCGCGAGGTCAACGATAGAGTGAAGGTCAAACTGGGCCTCCCGAACGCACCATATCAAAGAATTGTACACCTCACCCAGTCCAGTCTCTGTTTCTCTGTATTCATCAACACACTCATTATCATCACCTCTTTCCTTCTCCTGTGGCCACTCTTAGCACTGGTCATCGTGTTGGTGCCCGTGGTGCTCATCCTCAAACGTTTCTTCAGCTGGTTCTGTTGTTGCAGTGTCCGCCTCTGGGGCCGCTGCTGCATCTGTTTATGCCACACCCACCTGACGAGTTCAGAGGTTGTATGGTTAGGCAAACGTCATGGGAATGCCGTGGCACAAAGTCTTCTTGTCTTGCAGAAAGGCCTTGACATCGAGCGTATCCGGAACCTTCTGGACTCTCGTCTTCTCTCTGTTGAGAACCGCCACGGCCATAAGATGTATCCCCGTTTTACACAGAAAGTTAGTTACATTGCTAGTTTGTTACATGTTTAATTAGCTAGTTAGGTAGTAATGTAGGTAATTAATTATTTGCTGATTTTTGTTAATTATTAATTTGATTGCTTTGTTTACCAGTAAATAATGTACTCGGTTAGTTTATTCATTCGCTTGTTTATAGTTAGCCAGTTAATTCATTTGTTAGTGAGTTACACTAGTGTAAGTGAGTTTCTTCCTTCCCTTCTTTCCTCTTTCTTTCGCTATATCATCTTTTCTTCCTCCCCTCTTTCCCTCCTTGATTTCTCAAATAGCCTACATGTACATAGTTGCTTACTAACTTTCTTATTTTCAAGGTACGCATATACTGAGCCTTGAGCATAGAAACGGCAGATTGTTTGCCAGCCTTCAAAGCCACATCTTTTCCAGGGAAGAAGCCCTCTAAGCAGAACGAAGTTCCATGGGGTCGAGAGGTCAACATGGGTTTAACATAGGCCTGCTGTGAAATTTACTTTTTGTGACAAGTTTAAGGTGTTAACTTTTCTATGTTTAAATTCCATATATTGCTATCGACACTTTAAATAAGGTAATTCAAGTATGAATGCAGACTTGGAGGAAGGGAGTGAGGTTGAGTTTGACCTGGTTAAAGAGAAACAATCGACACGACAATAGCCATTGAATGTAAGTTTGTAGTTGTACAAATTTTACATGCACACCGAAGATAGATCATTCAGTAGGAAGACTTTGACCCTGCCTGTCGAGGCCAACCCGGGGTGAGAGGGATGCAACATCCCAGCAGAAAGACCGAGTCACTCTTTAAAAATTCTTTCCACTCAGGAATTGAACTTGGGTCTTCTGCGTGCGACGACGGAGCGCCTAACCGTTACACCACAGACGCCGGTATAGCCATTGAGAGTAGGGAAAAGAAAAGACTTAACGAAATAAGAGAAATGAATTTTTTTAAAGAAGGACCAAATAGTTGCCCCATCCAACTACAAGCAGGGACTTGAATTTGGTTGCTGAGAGATGGAACTGTGATATAAAACGTCTATTTTATTACATTCCACCGTTAGCCTCTTGGGAAATTTGGAGGTAAAAGTAAATTCTAGCCCCTCGTTTGGAACTTATTAACCTAGTACGCACATCCATGGTCTCCACTTTCAGTGGAGCCTCATTTATGTCTCCGTGACGTCATGCAAAAGTCAACTTTAAAATAGATATTTTCAGATTCAGAATGGCGGGTCGAAATTTGCTGTCACCAACTTGGTATACATTGGCAATTACAGAGCCTGCACATGCGATAATTCACTCAACCAGCTTGTTGCCAATGTCAGAAGCTCGTTTGTGTGTATGTGTGTGTATGTGTGTGTGTGTGTGTGTGTGTGTGTGTG